ACGGAGGCAGTCTCTGCTTTCCTCTTTGAAGAACTCCTGTGAGAAGTCTAGGAAAAGGTAGTAAACACATCTCCTGTAGCTCCAGGGCTGTTATTTCAGCTTTTTGTGACTTTTAATTTATCCTGTGGGACACCTGGAGACCCGTCCCATGGAGAAGTTTGAAGATTTGAAGGCACGATTCTCATGAGTGACTACTAGACTTTAATTAATTAATTTATTTATTTTTTGGTTTTTTGAGACAGGGTTTCTCTGTGTAGTTTTGGTGCCTTTCCTGGAACTCACTTGGTAGCCCAGGCTGGCCTCGAACTCATAGAGATCCGCCTGGCTTTGCCTCCCGAGTGCTGGGATTAAAGGTGTGTGCCACCACCGCCTGGCTAGACTTTAATTTAAAATAAAAGGAGGGGCCTAAGGGGAGCTCACAGGTAGACTACTCAGCATCCCCTCTTCTACACCCCAAAAAACCTCTCTTTCTCTCTCTCACACACACTGAGTAAGAGAGAGCACAAAAAAAATGAAGACAAAGAATACAGAGTCAGAGCATTGTGTATCTTCCTTCTGAGCATAAAGCACAGGCTGCTTAAGGTCAGTGTTTGTCCTGCCCCAGGGAGCTTAGCAAGAGCATTTCCCTAAGCTTTTTGTCTAGAAATGACTTTAAACCTCACATCAGGGGCTGGAGAGAGGGCTCAGCAGTTAATAGCACTGGCTGTTCTTGCAGAGGACTGGAGTTGGGATCCCAGCACCCATACTGGGTACCTCACAGTCGTAACTCTAGCTCTAGGAGATCTGACACCTTCTTCTGGCCTCCTTGGGTACCTGCAGTGCATATACATGCAGACGGACAAGAATAAATATATTTTAAAACAAGACAAAACAAAACTCCAGTTCCAGGACATCCAGTGCCTCTTCTGACCTCTGCTGAAGGAGTTCAACAGATGGTGTACACACATACACTCAGGCTCACACACATACACTCAGGCTCACACACGTATCTCAGGCTCACATACACACACTCAGGCTCACATACATACATACACTTAGGCTTACACACATATATTCAGATTCACATACATGCACTCAGACTCACATATCCACACATAAAATAAACAAACAAATATTTAAAAACAAACAAACAAAAATTCTTCCATACATGAACCTTTGGGTCTTGAAAGTTGCCTCCTGGGAGGCATTTGCATGGTAGAACCAGACTTGATTGCCTGGATGTAGCTAATCATCTTACATTTGGACAGCAGTCTGCCTGTGACTTAAGAGCTTCCTAAGGGTCCTGTTTTGATGAAAGATGAGATGCGATTTTCATGCTGTTTGTTGAGATGATGACCCACTTAAGTCTTGCTGATCTTGAGTCCTCCAGGTAGACATGGTAGGGTCCTTCTTCTCTGTGCACAGCCATCATGAGCTTTTTCTCTAGGCCATTGCAGGGGCTCTGTTATCCTAGGCAGGCTTCAGGTGTCTTGGTCCTGGAGTATGGCCCTAGGGGGGACAGTTATAGGAAGTGTGTTTTGAGAGGTGTGGCCTCAGCCCTGAGAACACCTGTGTTTTCCAGTGTCTCATCATTGGAGCTGGCCCCTGTGGTCTCCGCACAGCCATCGACTTGTCCTTGTTGGGAGCCAAGGTAGTTGTTATTGAGAAGCGAGATGCCTTCTCCCGAAACAACGTCTTGCATCTCTGGCCCTTCACCATACACGATCTTCGAGGTCTGGGTGCCAAGAAATTCTACGGCAAGTTCTGTGCTGGAGCCATCGACCACATCAGTGAGTACCACCAACTCTTCCTGCTCCCTTGTTCAGTGGACAGAGACAGGTAGGTGACCTGAGGACTTCCTCCTCAGCCAGGATGTGCACCTGCCACCAGTGTTCTAGAATCTAGGCTTCTAACCTCAAGTGGGTCTCTTGTGCAAAAAAGAGTTAGAGTTTGGCTTAAAGATTCTTAGTTCGGGGCCAGGCATCGTGGTGCACGCCTTTAATCCCAGCAATCAGGAGGCAGAGGCAGACAGATCTCTGAGTTTGAGGATAGCCTGGGCTACTGAGCGAGTTCTGGGACAGCCAGGGATACATACAGAGAAACTCTGAACACACACACACACTCTTTGTTGGGTCTTGGGACTCTTGCTAAGTACCCACGGTATGTACAGTGGAGGAGGAAGGGTAGGCATTGGAAATAGGTGGACAGTTTGGATTTCATCCCTCTGGTCATTCTTAGTTCATTGAAAGAGTGCATTGGCTTAGGTTCTGTGTTGTGATCTTGTGTACCCTCTATTAATGCAGAAAACAGTGCCATGGGGACACAGACGTGGGAAACCACACACAAAGAAGTAAGAGTCATAGCTTGGACACAAATGCCAAGTCTGCAGTGAGAGTCTGTGTTCTGGTGATAAATGAAGTCAGAGCCTTGTATTTGTCTCAAGATGGTCTTGTTTTCACGAAGTGGCGTATCTGAAACCAGTTCTGAACAGTGTCTGCATCATAAGCTGGAGAAGTCTTTTTACTGTCATTAATGAGTCTAGGGAGATGTTAGTGAGGAGCATTTGTTCTGAGCTCCTCCATCTGTGACCTGAAAATATTCAGCCATTAGAGCTTTCACGGTTTGAAGTGGTTATACCAATTTATCCAACACGAGCTGGCGGCTGCCACATTCCTCTGGCAAGAGGAGGTGCTCAGCCCATCTGCCAGGCTGTAATTTGTAAAGCATCTTGGAACCCACAGTTGTCTGCAGAAATAAAGTGTGTGCTAGCAGAGGCCTCAGTGAGTCTTGGGGAGTGTGACTCAGAAGGGCGAGGATGTGGGCAGCTGAGGAGAGGAACCAGGATGACTTCCCGGGGGATTTGCGTGTGCTCATAGCTCATTAGTCACAGGCTGCAGGTAGATTTGACCTTAAGAGAGGACCAAGGGTTGTTGACTGACTGGATCTGTGGTCCTTATCTGTGGCCAGGTTTATTTTAGGGCAGAGGCATCTTGGCCAGGGACAGGATTTCTGTCTCACTGTAACCTCTCATCGATGCCAGATCTAGTGGGATTCATCAAATATGTTTATTACCGTGATAATGAGCAGGAGTCAGTCCTTTTGGACCTCAGTTTCCACACCTGTACGTCACAGGTGGTGGGAAACGGTAAGAGATAGGGTGGGGTTGTGGTTTCTTTGGTGTATCTGGTAGGAGCATGTGAGGCCAGCAGGGGCTTAGATTGGAAGACGTGCTATGGCGTCTGACCTGTGGGTTCACCTCTCCTGTGCTGGCAGTAGTGGGTTCCTCTGAAGGCTGTGGATGCTGCTGAAAACAGAGGCTCTCACTGGACCCTCTGTCGTCATGTTAGGTTATCTGGGATACCCACCCGGCTCCAGAAGTGGGGTGGCCTAGTCTATCCAGAGTGTTTCTTCCACTGTTAGATGTTACCTTTACAACATGGAGAAAGAAAGAGAACTGCTAAGACATGTCTCTGCTGAGACAGCCTTTGGGAACCGAAACAGACATGGATGGATGGGAGCCTGAGGGTAGGCACCACAAGGCTGTCCCCTTCCTGTCCCCTTGCCATCAAAATCTTTGTGTTCTTCTAGGTATCCGTCAGCTCCAGCTAATCCTCTTGAAAGTAGCTTTGATCTTAGGCATTGAAATCCATGTGAATGTGGAATTCCAAGGACTTGTTCAGCCTCCCGAGGACCAAGAGAATGAACGTGAGTCGGACTGGACAGAGGACGGCATGAGGGCCCTGAGTGGGTGAGAACAGATGAGATCATGGGAGGAACCAGAAAGCCTTACAGGTGGTTTTCAGCGCTGACTAAAGGGGCTTTGTTCATGCAGCCTGGGCTTTTGAGGACTTCTGGCTTGCCCAAGAGGCCTTTGACATGGTATTAGGCGTGGCAGGCATTTGTATTATAGGAAATGCAAAGGTAAAGAAAGCGTCTTTGTGAGCTCTTGTCAAAACTTTCCGTGCAAGGCTGGCCCCTTATTCTGTTACATGTAGTGCTTTGAATTGGGACGCCGTGTGATCTGTGTGTCTGGGTGTGACTTCCTCTAGGTTGTGACCTTCATTTTGCCTTTGGTCCACAGGGATAGGATGGAGAGCATTGGTGCACCCCAAAACTCATCCTGTATCAGAATACGAATTTGAAGTGATCATTGGTGGGGATGGGCGGAGGAACACCCTGGAAGGTACTGGCTTTGGCCTGTTCTCTCTTGCCTGGCTTATCACAGAGACCACAGCCCTAAGAACGTGCATGTATGCTCCCCAGTCGGTGCCTGAAAGGGATATTTCCCACAGAACACTAAGAGACAAGCTGTGCTTAGAAGTATCGGTACCACAGCTTTTAGTCTATGCATGAATATGCCCGGCACACAGCACCCCTCCATTTTAGGGGTAACCTTGAGTACTGAGCAGGTAATCTGGTCGCACGGATTTCACATCGTCTGTGATGTGGGAGGGGACTTCCTTCTAGAGTTCTTCCTGAGTTCCATCCCTGTTAGGTGAGCCACCCACTCCCCTTGATTCTGGCCCCCCAATACCCTCTCGTTTGAAGTCCTTACCCCTGCTCTCTTTCCCTCTAGGATTTCGTCGGAAAGAATTTCGTGGCAAGCTAGCCATTGCCATCACGGCAAACTTCATTAACCGAAACACAACCGCAGAGGCCAAAGTAGAGGAGATCAGTGGTGTGGCTTTTATATTCAACCAAAAATTTTTCCAGGAGCTGAGAGAAGCCACAGGTTGGTGTCAGGGCCTGCAGAGCCCAGAGGTTGTTGGTGTGGGTGGCCACGGATGTCACTTCTGTGTCCTTGGTCCTCTGTTCCTCTGCCCCTCCCGTCCTGTGTCCTTAGCATGTTTCCGCACTGCGGCTTTCGTGGGTCAGTCCTCAGCACAGTGACCAGGCCGCTCGGGGATTTGGTTTTGTTGGTTTTGCCTTTGCCAACTCATCCCGGCTCCTTCCCCCGCCCTACAAGCCAGGCTCTCTGCTGGATGAGCAGGCTTCCCACTGGCTGGTTTTGTTGACATCGTGACCTTTGCTATCACTGTAGCCTCTGAGGTCATCTGGGCTCACCAGCAACCATTGCTGGACAGGAATGGGGTTGTGTGTGACTGTTTTCTGATGGACTGAGTTAGATATGCTGCTGCAATGAAACAGAAAAAGTATCTTCATTCTGATTTCTAGAGCTTGATTTCTTTCCATTCCATGTGTCTCTCAGGTTAACTGAATAAAAAATTCAGTATTTCTCTCTCTGCATATATTTATTTATTTTGGTGTTGGTTTTTTTTGTTTGTTTGTTTGTTTGTTTGGGTTGGGTTGGGTTGGGTTGGGGTTTTTTTTGGTTATTTGAGACAGCATTTCTCTGTGTAGCTTTGCACCTTTCCTGAAACTCACTCTGTAGCCCAGGCTGGCCTCGAACTTACAGATATCCGCCTGCCTCTGCCTCCCAAGTGCTGGGATTAAAGGCGTACACCACCACCACCCGGCTTCTCTCTCTCTCTCTGCATTTAGGTGTCTGTCCTGTTAGAAATCTAGGCGAAGCCTCCAGCTTCCTTGGTGATTATCAAAGAGGTTTTACCTGGTACATAACCCATCCCCTCTTGTAGATTGGCCAGCCTCTGCTTTACTTTTCCCATTTTCGTGTTCTGTTTACTGTTGGTTATTGTTTTTGGGATAACCTAGGATACTGAGTGAGTTTTAGGGCTGCACAAAAGAAAGCCAACCTTGAGATTTCCATGCACTGTGCAGGAAGTGAGGATCTGAGCCTAGACAGCTTTCCTGCCTGGTGCTCTTCAGCGCTTTCCCTGAGAGCCAGGTCCAGCCTTGTGGATTCCATAGTGTCCTGTCTTCCTGAATTCTCACCTGTCTGTCTTCTGGTTGCAGGTATTGATTTAGAGAACATCGTCTACTACAAAGATGACACACACTACTTTGTCATGACGGCCAAAAAGCAGAGTTTGCTGGACAAAGGGGTGATACTGCATGTGAGCAATGGATTTCTTTCGTCAGCATCTCTGTTGAACTGCTTGATAGGATCCCCAAGAAGAAGTTTAGTCTGATGGGTTTTTCCTGTAAGGGACTGAAAATGATACTGAACACATCTGGAAACCCATGCTATTTATTAGTTTAACTTAAAAATATTTTTATTATGGAAGATTGGAGCTATAAACAGGAGGAGGGCAGAATGGGCCTGTGTGGCCATGATTATGATTAGCTTTAACAGTCACCAACACGGCCAGATTGTTTCCATAAGCCCAACTCCGTCCTCTCTCCCCTTTTAGGGCAACTGTCGGATGTCACGCCCTGCATGACTAGCCAGTTTAACTTTAGGTAGCCTGATTTACAGTTATATTGAATTCCATACATGACAATCATTGATCATACACCCTCCCACACCTTCGGGGACTGAACCGAGGGCCTTGTGCATGCTAGGCAAGAAGTCTGCCACTGAGCTACGTCCCTAGACTTTGTCTCAAAGAACTATTTCCTTCGAGACAGGCTCTTACTAAGTGGCTCGGGCTGGCCTTGAAATAATACCATAGCCCCAGGCAAGCCTTGAAAGGGTAGCCATCCTGCCTTAGCCTCGGAGTAGCTGAGATTATATGCCCACCAGGGCCCACATTAGTGGGTCCTCTTTTGGGGGGCAGAATGGCAAGCGTTGAACCAAGAAGCAAGCCCTTGGTGTTTACAGTAGCCTGACAGTGACTCAGGTTTTACTGCAAATGTGGTTACGTGAGGTCCAGGGAACACTGACCTGACCAGATCAGGGTATATTTAAGGCTCTTTTCTAACTAACAGCAAAGGCCTGATGTCTATCCTTAGCCACTTCCTGCTCAGCCCTTTTTCTGGATGACTAATTGTATGATATACCCTGAGCTGAGGACCTGAAATCTAAATCACAGGCCAGATGGTCCCTTAAGGAGCAGTGTGGCTGTCATCTCACTTGGCCCCGCAGATCTGGATGTGAGAACCACTTTCTCCATGCGATGAATGGATAGAAGAAGCCTCAGATGTGCTGACCGAGCCCGTCCAGTTCCCACCAGCCCCAGAGCTGACTCTTAGGGAGCTCTTTGTGTCTGCAGGGTGCTAACACATCAGGTCCCTTAGAGTGAGTCACGCTATCGCTTTATCCATAGCAGACTGGGGAATGAGCTGACAAGCTAGTGCTTGGGACACAGAGTCTCCTTTCCACCGGGAACCCCGTCTCGTGTCTGCATCTCAGCGTGGCAGCCCTGTGTGCGCAGGGAACAGCAAGACAAAGCTCTTGGTACAGAGTTCCCTGCCAAACAAAAGCAAGGCGTGTTGAGCTGGATGCTTTTCTAAAGCCGGCTGGTTCATTATCTGGGGCTCTTCTGTTGCTGTTAGTACTGCAGTCGGGATGCCTGAGGACAGAGTTGAGACTCAAACCAGCCATCCATGCCGATCTGGGTTATCAGTTAGAATTGAGTAAGAACAGTCTGGAATGCTGAGGTCCGATTTACTTTGCCTCTCTGTTTTTGTAGTGTAAGGGGTTTATGCTGCTAAATACTAAAGCCGCCGTGGCCACTTAACAGTGAGCAAACAGAATTTCCAGGACTGACTTGAGTGTTTGTGTTTTGGCTTTTGACAGCTTATGGCTGTAACTGAGTACCATTGGGGGGCACCTGGAACCCACAGGCCCTACTTCAGGGGAGCAGACTTGACTCAGTGCACAGGACCCTCCACAGCCGAGGGAGGGTTTCTCGGTTCTCTGCATAGAAAGCCCTTTTGATGCTTCCGTCCTTTTCATTTGTTGGTGGGTTTTCACGGAGCCTAGCAGAATCCTCTGTGTGATTTAGAAATCTCTAGATCTCTCAGTGTGTTCCCTCTCGTCGTCCAGGACCTGCTCTTGCTCCACACCACACTTCTCTTTGCACTAAAGTTTTCAGATTTCCTTTAGGTTTAATAAATCTGAATTTCTTGCTGCCAAAAACCATCAGACACCCAGATTAAAGTGATTGTAGGAAATACCACAGACTTTAAAATGCCTTCTCAGTTTATAGGTGCTGTTATGTGGCTATTTTACTTGATAATTGTAACAGCTCTGAGATAAATGCCCTTTGCCGCTAGTGAGTGGGAAAGCCAGGTCCATTTAGGCAAAGCTGATTCACTCTTAACCAACACCACCCCCATCCCTGTTCTTTTTAATTGATGTAAAAGATTTGGTTGAGGTATGTAAAAACATCTTAGGGAGAAAAAACGCCAAGAGACAAGGTCATGTTTGATGTTCGTTGTGGGGTTGTAGCTGGCCAGGTGGGCAGCTACCCACTACACATCCCGCCTTGGGCTTCTCCATCCTGGCCTGTGCTCTTTCTGGACAGGACTACACAGACACGGAGCTGTTGCTTTCCCGGGAGAATGTGGACCAGGAGGCCCTGCTGAACTACGCCCGGGAGGCTGCAGACTTCTCTACCCAGCAGCAACTGCCTTCTCTGGACTTTGCCATCAATCACTACGGGCAGCCTGATGTGGCCATGTTTGACTTCACCTGTATGTACGCCTCTGAAAATGCAGCCTTGGTACGGGAACAAAATGGACACCAGTTACTAGTAGCTCTGGTTGGGGACAGCCTCCTGGAGGTGAGTACTGAAAGGGGCAGAGAACTAAGGGGCAGAGGCCCTGGTAACTGGGACATAGTGATGAGCGAGTCTAGGTGTTCAGAGACTCCTTACAAGAATTGCTCCATAGAGGAGAAAGGTGATGGTGGGCCCCGGGTCACTGGTTTATTTCCCTCTTTGAGTAGCTGAGTTACTTTAACTCTGTGTACATCTCTTTTTCAGCCTTTCTGGCCAATGGGAACAGGAATAGCCCGGGGCTTTCTGGCTGCTATGGACTCTGCCTGGATGGTACGAAGCTGGTCTCTGGGCACCAGCCCCTTGGAAGTCCTTGCAGAGAGGTAATGGGAAGAGGTCATGGATGCCTCCTACAGGACTGGGGAAGTGGGCCTGCTTACTCCTCGGCCGAGTGTGATTTCTTCCTCCCTCTGGTTTGCTTGTTCTTTTTAAAAGATGTGTTCATCAAGTAGAGGAGGGAAAGTTTCTGTCTTATAAGCGCACAGACACTTCAAGGTGATCTGCCCAGGCTGCTCTTCTCATACCCCTCCTCAGATAGCAGCTCCTGTTGGCATGTGGTGTCTGCAACTTTGTGCACCCCTGACTGGTCCTGACTCCTTCCCATTAACTACATGCGGAAATGCACAGGAGTAGCATGTTGGCATCCATGTTCCGTGAGCCAGCGTGGCAGTGGGAGCATGCCAGCTGTGGTCATCAGAAGTGGCTAGCTGAAAAGAACACCCCAGCATGCTTGTAAACATTTCTTGAACCCCTGGAGGTCAGATGTTTGGAAGCAGATGATTGTAAATGAGGCAGGGACATTAGGATTTACCTGCTGTCTACCCTGACCAGGAGAAACAGAAATGCGAGATTTCCTGGATGAAAATATTATTCTCTGATAATTGATATTATTACTTGTCTTTTGCTGTGACAAAACATCATGACCAAGACAGCTTATAGAAGAAAAAGTTTATTTGGGGGCTTACAGTTTCAGAGGGCCACCATGATGACCAGGGTGGGGAGCATGGCACCAGGCAGGCAGGCATGGTGCTGGAGCAGTAGCTGAGAGCTCACATCCAATCCATAGGCCTGAAACAGAGAGACAGCTAAGTGTGAATGGTGTGGGCTTTTGAAACCGCTAAGCCCACTCACTCGCAGTAACACACCTCTCCAACAAGGCCACACCTCCTAGTCCTCCCTGAACAGTTCCACCACCTGGGGACCAAGTATTCAGGCCTAAGAGTCTTAGGGGGCCATTCTCATTTAAACCACCACATTTCAGCCCCTAGTCCTCATAGTCTTGTGGCCATATTGAAATACAAAATGCATTTAGTCCAACTTCAGAAATCCCCATAGTATCTCTCTCAGAGTCTTAACACTTTAAAAGTCCACAGTCTCTTCTGAGATTCAAGGCAGTCTCTTAATTGTAAGCCTCTATAAAACCAAAAAGCAGATTACATACTTCCAACCTACAGTGGCGTAGAATATACATTACCATTCAAAACTGGTAGAATGGGGATAGAATGAGGAAATACTGGGGCCCCAACAAGACTGAACCCCACAGGGCAAACTCCAAATCCTGTGGCCCCGCATCTGATGTCAGAGGGTTTAGAAGGCTGTGTCCTCGTCTGCAGCACACTCCTCTCTTGGCCTGGTTCCTCTCCCTGTGCCACTCTCCCTGGCAGACATTCCAAGGTTCTGTCACTTCCAACATCCTGGCATCTCCAGCACAGCAGGCTTCACACAGTGGCCCCTCAGGACCTCCATGCAGGGGCTCCCCTGCCTTAGCCTGCCTCGGCAGCTCTTCTTAACCTAAGAGGAAGAGTCCACAACACCTTTGCTCCTGGTCCTCGTGACCCTACACTTGAGGGTCTAAACCCTGAACCTTGCAGCTGGTATTTCCAAGTTTGGCTGCCCACCTGGGATGGGGCCTGGCCCCTCCTTGGATTACATTTGCATAAGCTTTGACTGGTTACTTTTAGGAACAGAAAATCCCTCAGGCCTTTTCCTTTTCACTAGCTGCAGGGCCAGCTGGGTGGGACCTTGCCCCAGGGGAACCGCTCCCTGTCTACCCCTGCACACCAGGCCTCTCTCTGTCTCTTTCAGCACCAGCCTTGGTGCCAACATTAAGTTTTCTTGTGTTCTCAACTGTACGTCTCGTATTTCTTTCTCCCTGTTGCTCTCTTTCATTGTAGACCTGCGTAAGAACAATCACTAATAACCATGTGACAGGGTGAATATTAGGCTATCTTGAAATTTTTTTTGCCGGTAAAATTAGTTCAAAACACTTCAATTTAGCCTCAGGCAGATTCTTAGGACTAGGCCAAAAGCAGCCACTTTTTTTTTTTCCAAATTATCACAGGAATGGCTTTTAGCCCAGTTGCTACTGTTATTCCCCTCTGAAACCTTGAGCTGGGCCTCCATAGTTAGTTCATATTGCTGTCTGCACTGTTGTCCTCTAAGCTCCTACTAGGATGGCCTGTTAAACTGTGCTTACAGTGTTCAGCTGCTTTCCTAGTCTAGAGTCCCAAAGTCTTCCATACTTCCCCTAAAATTAGCGTAGTCAGGCAGGTCACAACAATCCCCACTCCTGGTCCTAACTTCTGTCTTAGGGTTACTACTCTTGTGATGAAACACCATGACCAGTGTGCATCTTGGGAAGGAAAAGGTTTATTTGGCTTACATTCCACATCACTGATCATCATCAAGGTCAGGACAGGAACTCAACAGGGCAGGAACCTGGAGGCAGGAGCTGATGCAGGGCCAAGGAGTGCTGCCTACTGGCTTGCTCCTTGTGTCTGCTCAGCCTGCTCTCTTACAGAACCACCAGGTCAGGGTGGCACCACCCACAATGGGGTGAGCCCTCTCCCATCAGTCCCTAACTAAGAAATGTCCTCCAGGCTTGCCTACAGCCTGAGCTAATTAGAAGCATTTTCTTAATTGAGATTCACTGCTCTTAGATGACTGTAGCTTGTGTCAAGTTGACATAAAAACCAGCCAGCACAGTCTATCATTTTAAATCTTTAGTGTAAGGCATGCATCTGGAAATAATGGCAAAGCTTATTTTTTTCTTTGTTTTGTGTTTTGAAATAAGAGTCTCCCTCTGTACCCTAGGCTGGCTTAGTACTCAGTATGTAGTCCAAGTCCTAGCTGGCCTTGAACTCAAAGCATTCTCCTGCCTGAGTGTCCCATGTGCTAGAATTATGGGTGTGAGCTACCACATCTACCACCTCACTACTACCATGCTGGGGTCCAGATTTCCAGCATGTGACCTTTGGGGAAGTAAGCACAGCACTGACAGACTCAGTGAGGAGTCCACAGACCTTTATGCTAACAGAGAAGATGTTTTGGAAGTGTCCTTCATCCTTTGGATTAAATATTCTACTATTGAGGAGAAGGTTCAGCAAAGATGACTCTGTGGGGATAGGACTCAGGACAAGACAGACTGTGCATTCCAGTAACCCACACAAGCAGGCCCCATGTTCCTTTTGAATCTCGTAGATGTCATAGTAGATATTGGCACACCAGATGACAGCCTTCTAAGTTAGCATCATTTGCCACCCCCACCCCCCAGCATTGCCCCTGCTCTTCCTTTCGGTCCTTTCCCTGGTCCAGGTCCTTGGGGTCACTGAGTTCTGGTCTGGAGGGAAGAGCTGAGATCGATTTGGTGGGATAGATTCATCAGATTGCTCACTTGTTGGGTAATCTGGTGTTTGTCACTGCTGCGAGCACACTGTTGTATCTCACTGCATGTGAGCACACTGTTGTCTGTCGTTGCAGGGAAAGCATTTATAGGTTGTTGCCTCAGACCACCCCTGAGAACGTGAGCAAAAACTTCAGCCAATATAGCATCGACCCTGTCACTAGGTATCCCAATATTAACATCAACTTCCTCCGGCCAAGTCAGGTAAGAGCATTCCCGTCAGTTACGTACTCCTAGGCCCATGTTCTGGATGCTCATAGCTCTGGTCAATAGACTGGATAGGAATGTGTATAACTATGTTTGTTATTATACAGTATATATTATACAGTATATATGCTTGTTATTATACAGTATATATTCCAACAGGAATGTGTATAGCTGTGTTTGTTAGCACACACTAATCCAACTTGATATCTCTGTTGTTGAAAGTAGATATTATTTCCCATTACCACATTCAGCAGCTAGGGCACAGAGGGCCAGTCTTTCCTTCTTTTTCTTTATTGGTTGGTCTTTATTGGTTTTGAGTTTGGGGTGGGGTTGGAGAGACTTACTACATAGGCCAGGCTGGCTTGGAACTCATGGGTCAGCTTCCCAGATGCAGGAGGTACAGTCGTGAGCCACTGTGTCTGGCTGAGTAGAGTTTTTTAGTGACTTGTAGATCAGAAATGACAAAAACAAAAGACCTAGAACGTCACCCTCCACCTCCCAGTTCAGGCCACACAGAGTAGGGCAAAGGGCACGGACTGGTTCAGTAGTCAGGAAGCATGACGTCACTGACAGCCTCACCAGCCATCACCCGAGACTCGGCAGGTTGTATGGCTTTCTCTGAACCTCAGTTTTTCACCTGAGAAGTTTCCTTGGCAACCTCTGCCAAGGACATTTGTCGGGCAAATGCAATTGTTCTCTGGAAAGGGCTCTGAAAGGTCAGGACGCTGTCTACAAGTGGAAGGCACTGTTGTTAGTGTTAGCCTAGATTGTGTACTGGCTTCTCCAGAATCCGTAAAGCCCCGTTGCTGTGACGTCTAACAAACCCAACAGTCCTGAGGAGCAGGACACGTGAGGAAGTAGCCTCCTCCTCCGTGTGTCTGTATCGTAGAGGATTCTCTTCTTTGCCCTCTGCCCGGTGTCTGCAGGCTTTGTGAATGTGTTTGAACAGTGTTTATGAATACTCTGAGGGTGGGCAGCGTCAGCTCGGAGGGACTGCTGTGGCCAACTGGCTTACTTACATCATTCCACTAAAGCTCCGAGGCATCGTGGAGACTCTGTCTAAGCTTACCGTGGAGCATAGAGCTCTGCTTGGCCGCTCAAGACCATAACCTCACCCCCGGCACCAGCAGAAAGTAAAAACAAAAATCCAGACTTTACCAGCTCGCTTCTTTTAAGTGGGGACTTGTTATTCCGGGTTTCATTTTCCTTTTCAACCTTTGAACTTTCTGCCAGGTGCGCCATTTATACGATAGTGGAGATACAAAAGATATTCATCTGGAAATGGAGAACCTGGTGAATTCCCGAACCACTCCCAAGCTGACTCGGAATGGTGAGTTCCGACAATGGTCTAACCTGTTCAAAGCAGTCTGTACTCATCCATCAGGCTGTTGCGTGACCACAGCGCTTTCAAAGGCCCTGGGCTGTAGCCAGTGGTTTTACCCTCCGGGGATATGAGGTTGTCGCCAGGGTGTATTTTTATGTCGTGACTGAGGTAGGTTTGCTAGTGGCACCCAGTGGATGGAACGCAGGGATGTTGCTTACACTTTTTGGGGTGCACAAAACGACCCCCCCACACACAGAAGGGTGTTGTGGTCTCAGGTAGCACAAGAGTATACAGGCAAATTACTGTTTCATGAACTTTTCCTAGGGAGATGTAAACAAATGTTCCAGATGGGGAACCAGCCAACATAATAAATAACAACCGACAAAAGTAATCAGTCCACTCAAGGGTAGCCCTGTGCACCAGGGACTTCCTAAGCACACCTGCAGGAACATGGGTGACCCCCAGATGTCCGCATCGCTGACGTCTCACTCCTGGGTAGATGAGGACTTCTCCATGGCCATGTGGATGGAGGCTTCCCTTCAGTTAGCTCTCTGCTCTCTCTATGCGCCAGCCCCTCCTGAGACTGTGTGCAGCCAGCACAGCATCATGTAACGCTGAGGTGTTTCCCTCCAGTGAGGGGACAGCAACAGCCCTGACCTTAAGGGTTGCTTGCCACTAATCCCAGCCGCTCTGTCGAAGACGGTAGTGCTCTTACACTTGGAGGACAGTGTCCCACAGCAATCAGTTATAGATCCTGGAGAGGGAGAGAAAGAATGCGCACACAAGCTCCTGGGTACCCGAACACAAACTCGAGTTTTGGGAGAAAATGTGTGGTGGCCTTTCCCCTGGGTCCTGAGACAGCACCATCATGCTGTGGCAGACGCGAAGGTTGTCATGCCCAGATCACAGGGACCCCCAAAAGACCACCACAGAGACCAAGTCCCACATGTAAAAGCAAAGAGCCTTTATTTCAAGCTCCGAGCTTGGTCTTTCTGTCTGTCCAATGCAGTGGTGAGAGCAGAGAGCCCTGAGCTCAGGTGGGGCAGAGTTTTTATCATAGCAGACAGTTGGGGTGAAGGGATTTCCAGGGTCCAGGGCCCTGATAGGCTGACAGCTGTCTAGGGGTATCTGTAAAACAAAAAATAGGTGTGTGCTAGACTCAAGGACATCTGGCCACCTTATCCAATGGTTGAAATGTTTGGGGTGTCAGGTGCTTCCTCACCCCAGGATGGATCCGTGGGTGGTATCAGCTTAAGGCTTTTCCTGGGTCTGGGTGTTGCCTGCCAGTAAGCCTGTCACAGAAGCTGTGTCTAGGCCCCTAAGCCTGTCATGGCTGCTGTATGGTCAGGCTGTTTAGGGGCCCTCCACAAGGGTCATTCTGTGTTTTGTGTATAATGAAGGGCTGCTAGAGATTTTCTTTGGAGAGTGGCATTGAGGACAACTGGTCAGGTGCATTAGAGCGGACTGAGCAGGGAAATACGGGCAGTGCAGGGGGAAATACAGGCAGTGCAGGGGGAAATAC